AACGCTCAACCTCGCGTACAAGCTCAGGCTCCTTTCCTGCCAGAGAGGTCACATTCCATGTCCCAAGAGCTAGCTTTGGTAAACCAGGGTCAGAGCGCCAAGGTCCCCGCCTTCGGCCACTGCCCCTAGCATCATGCACCTGACTTTCATGGCCCTTCCTGCAGGTGGTAGGTCCACAGGAAGGCAAATCCATGCTGCTCCTTCAGGCTGAGCCTGACCGGGCCCCATGGGTAGAAACTCGGTCACCAGGCGCTCGCCGATGAGCCCCTCCCCCAGGCCTGGCTCCAGGGTGGGGACCTGGTAACCCACGTCCGGGCAAGGGGCACTGAGTTCCTTATTTTGTTTTGTCCATAAAAATCTTCTGAACCACTCTTTGTCTGGCCTGTCACCTAGGACCAATCTGTCTTGGGAGACCATACCGGAGCAATTGTAATTGCCCCCGACAGCATAGCTCCTAGGATCATTCAGGTGCACAAACTCCTCCACCACGATAAAGTGGCAATTCAAGGAGGAGTAGCGATTCAAGGATATTCTAATTTTTTGGAAAGGGTCTGTATATTTAAAATTTTACAGTTTTTCTTAATTTGATGCATTATTGTGTCTACCTTTATTGTTCAGTTTAGATGTGTGGTTTTGTTTCTTGTATACAGATTAGTTTTTTGGTTTAGCTTTGCTTTAAATTTTAATTCGTTTTGTGATTTGTACATCTGTAGGTTAGAATAAAGTTGAACTAAAGGTCGTAGCTCTTCTTTAATCATGTTAGAGGGAAATATTCCTGAGAGATCCAATAATTTTGTGTTTATGATTTTTCAGCTGAGTTGACTTTAATTAATAGATTATTTAATAAAGTCATTAAAGTGAAAACAGGATTTCATGATAAAGCCGGTGGTTTTCTTTTTTTTTTTTTTATCTTCAATGATTAAAAAAAGAAAATACTTTTTTTTTAATACATAAAATGTTTTAAAAAATAATTTCCACCTTCCGTCCCAGACCCGTCACGGTCCGCCCCTGCCTGCCGGGGCTCGGGGTCTGGCGTCGCACGCTCTTGCAGGTTGGCAGCTCGTATGATCCTCCACGGTGACCGGCAGAGCTTGGAGACGGGGATGTGACGCCTTGCCCAGCCTGAGGGGGCTCTGAGGCTCCGGTGGAGAGGACCAGGGAGACCGGCGGAGCGCCATCTAGCTTGCTCTGAATTTTGTCGTCGGGCACAAAAAATGCCTGCACTTCAGCATTAGGCCACAATGTTGTCATTATTGTTTTTAAAATCTTAAACACACAGTGAGGAAAATAAGTATTTGAACACCCTGCGACTTTGCACGTTCTCCCACTTTGAAATCATGGAGGGGTCTGAATCTTTCATCTCGGGTGCATGTCCATTGTGAGAGGCATAATCTAAAAAAAAAAAAATCCGGAAATCACAATGTATGATATTTTTAATCATTTATTTGTGTGTTACTGCTGAAAATAAGTATTTGAACACCTGTGAAAATTAATGTTAATATTTGGTACAGTATCTTTGTTTGCAGTTACAGAGGTCAAAGGTTTCCTGTAGTGTTTCAGCAGGTTTGCACACACTGCAGCAGAGATTTTGGGCCATTCCTCCACACACATCTTCTCTAGATCAACCAGGTTTCTGGGCTGTCACTGAGAAACAGAGTTTGAGCTCCCTCCAAATATTTTCTATAGGGTTTAGGGCTGGAGACTGGCTAGGCCACTCCAGAACCTTGATATGCTTCTTACGGAGCCACTCCTTGGTTCTCCTGGCTGTGTGCTTCGGGTCATTGTCTTGTTGGAAGACCCAGCCTCGACCCATCTTCAATGATCTAACTGAGGGAAGGAGGTTGTTCCCCAAAATCTCTCACTACATGGCCCCGGTCATCCTCTCCTTAATACAGTGCAGTCGTCCTGTCTCATGTGCAGAAGAACACCCCCAAAGCATGATGCATCCACCCCCATGCTTCACAGTAGGGATGGTGTATTTGGGATGATACTCATCATTCTTCGTCCTCCAAACACGGCGAGTGGAATTAAGACCAAAAAGTTCTATTTTGGTCTCATCTGACCACATAACTTTCTCCCATGACTCCTCTGGATCATCCAAATGGTCATGGGCAAACTTAAGACGGGCCTGGACGTGTGCTGATTTAAGCAGGGGAACCTTCCGTGCCATGCATGATTTTAAACTATGATATCTTAGTGTATTACCCACAGTAACCTTGGAAACAGTGGTGTCAGCTCTCTTCAGGTCATTGACCAGCTCCTCCCATGTAGTTCTGGGCTGATTCTTCACCTTTCTTAGGATCATTGATATGCCACGAGGTGAGATCTTGCATGGAGCCCCAGTCCGAGGGAGATTGACAGTCATGTTTAGCTTCTTCCATTTTCTAATAATTGCTCCAACAGTTGATCTTTTTTCACCAAGCTGCTTGGCAATTGCCCCGTAGCCCTTTCCAGCCTTGTGGAGGTCTACAATTTTGTCTCTGGTGTCTTTGGACAGCTCTTTGGTCTTAGCCATGTTAGTAGTTGGAGTCTTACTGATTATGTGGGGTGGACAGGTGTCTTTATGCAGCTACCGACCTCAAACAGGTGCTTCTAATTTAGAATAATAAGTGGAGTGGAGGTGGACGTTATAGAGGAGGACTAACAGGTCTTTGAGGGCCAGAACTGTTGCTGATTGGCAGGTGTTCCAAATACTTATATGCAGCAGTAACACACAAATGAATTATTAAAAAAATCATACATTGTGATTTCCGGATTTTTCTTTTAGATTATGTCTCTCACAGTGGACATGCACCTAAGATAAAAAATTCAGACCCCTCCATGATTTCTAAGTGGGAGTACTTGCAAAGTCGCAGGCTGTTCAAATACTTATTTTCCTCACTGTATGTCCAGTCACTCCTAGAGTTCGAGTTATTGCAAATGGCGGATCGGGTTGTTGTGAAAGTTTCTCAAACAATCAGTGACTCCACCCCCTGACCAATCAGTGACCGGCAGTGTTCTGACATCACATATTAAGGCCAGGATGGTACGGTTGGAACCCCCAGAGAAATGGGTCCTGAAAAAGGAACTGGTTCCACGAACCGTTGCTAGTGTCTGCTCAGAGCTTTGCTTGTTTTTAGTGATAATACTGATAGCGTATTGAAGATTAAATGCCGTCCACGGTTTAGTAGTCTGACTTTAAGCAAGGTGGATCTTACACTATGTCAACCAACGCTGAGGATTTTGACTTTGATGAATATGATAAACCTGGCATTGAGCGGTCACGTCGGAGGAGAGGTGATGATATCGTAGAGAGCATTGCTTGGGAGAACTCATCTGATCAGGTTGGTTCGGTAAATGCTCCTGTATGCATACATCGTTCTTTTGATTATATGTTCTCTGAATACTTGTAACCCTTTGTCAAATAAATCTTTTGAACTAAGGTGACAGTCTCAGCTGTCTTGAACACGATTTGGCACTAGCCGCATCAGAAGCCTTGGAACCGTGCCGAGTCGAACCATGCTTTACCGTTGCTAATGGAAAAGAGCAAATAGAATCAGAATGCAAAACTCATTATTCATTCGTGTAAAGTATTCATTCATACCCATCTGCACACACAGACTCATGTTCGGGCTGCTGTTGTTATACCGTATTCTTTTACATTATTAGTGTTTAGCGTATCTCTTGGATCTTTTAGCGTACAGTTTGGCATTCATTTTTCATTTATCTTAGTTTATATCTTAGATCCTTATCTACAGTTTCTTTTTACACTTTATATTTTTGCTATTTTTGGGTGTAACTGGGACCCTGTGTACATAATTTTGTTCCACCTCGTGTACCACACCTGGTGAAATAACAAATCTACCAGTACTTGAACTTAAAGAAAAGTAGATGTTTCAGAAACATTAGCTCAATAATCCAGGTAAAAAAATCCAACAATGTTTAGTCAGGTCATCTGGACTGTTTTTTTTTTGTTGTTGTTCAGAGATGTTTCGTCCTTCATCCAAAGGACTTCATCAATCTGAGGAGCCACAAATAAACTGTGTTCCACAAGCAGCACACTCCCATAGTGGACCAACCAGTTTGCTGGTGGTGACAGTTTCTGGGGGCCACCCTCTCCCCCGTCGACTCCTCCCAGGCAGCCACAATCTTGATGAACCTTAATGTTTTGAACCACTTTGGCTGTGGCTGCCTGGGAGGAGTCGATGGGGGAGAGGGCGGCCCCTAGAAACCACCTTAACACCAGCAAACTGTTTGGTCCACTATGGGAGTGTACTGCTTGTGGGACACAGTTTGTTTGTGGCTCCTCAGATTGATGAAGTCCTTTGGATCAAGGATGAAACGTCTCAACAAAAAAAATAAACCGTCCAGATGACCTGACTGAACTTTGTTGGGTTTTAGAAAATGTTTTAGAAGGAATTTAAGATATCTTAATGTATTTCAATCGGGAAAAGTTTTATAAATAAAATAAAATGCAAAAAGTTCAAAAGCTAGAAATACTAAAAGTCACAGCACACTACTGTTAATCAAGCAAAACATTTTGTGACATGCATAGTTACAATAACACAAGACATTTGACTGCATATAATGCAAGGAGGGTGGCACAGTGGCACAAGGAAGGAAGGAAGGAAGGAAGGAAGGAAGGAAGGAAGGCAGGATAAGAAGAGAAGGATAGACGAAGGGAAGGAAGGATAGAAGGAAGGAAGGATGATGGATGGATGGAAGGAAAGAAAGATTGAAGGAAAATAGGAAGGAAGGAAGGATGGACTGAAGTAAGGATAGAAGAAAGGAAGGAAGGAAGGATGTATGGATAGAGATAATCCAATGAGGCAACTAAACAAAGAAAACTGAATGCTGACTCAGCGTTCTCACAGTTTCAGTCTTGTCCTCCACAACAACTCTACATCCAATCTTTTGTTTGAGGGTTCACCACATCATTGATTAAAACCTGTTTCTTTCGGGCCTTGCAGTTTAATTAAATGTAGGTAAACATATGTACTGTGTGTGTGCACATGTCTTACTTTAAAGGACTCCATGTCTGAAACCAGGCATGCACTCTGCATTCGAGCACGGAGGTGAGTGCCTTCAGCTGATGTGCCAAGTTTGGCCAGAACTTCTGATTGTTCTTCCAGCTGATCCTCAGTCATGGGAGCAGGTTCCTGAGAGTGAAGCACAAACATCAAGTATCATCACTCTGCTTCTTCCAACTCATCACTGACTGCAGCCAAAGGAAAAAAGAGCCATAACATTAGTTAATGCAGCGTTCTTTCACACCTGTACAACATTTTTGTACCGTTTCATAAGCAAAGACTCAGTTTAAGAAACATGTGGTAAACTAGCCCTCTTTGGATCTCAGTAGCTTCACATGCTTCACAGTAGATGCATCATTCAAAGTTTCAAAGGGTTACAGAAAGTTTGGTTTTACACGTTAGAACTAACATTTAGATATCATGTAAGATATCATCTAGAGTTCTTAATCAAATGCAGTTAAGTTTGCAGATTTTGGTAAAGTTCTACCTGAGTGACAGGAACATAAAGAGGCTCTGTATTGTTCAGTAGAGTCATGTTGTTGTAGGGGTGCAGCCTGCCCTCTGCTTTGCCTTTACCGCCGTTCTTTCCCCCCTCAGACTGTGAAGACTCCATCTCCTCCTGGTCACTTAAGCACTCAAAGAACTCTTCCTCGCTGTCACTCCCTGAATCCCGGAACCTCCCCTGAGGCGCTTCTCTTGTTGAACTGGATCCAGCTGTTGATGATGTCGATCCTTTTCCTTTGCTCCCTTCCCTGTGAGCTTCGTCTCTGGCCCTCTTCCTTTCAATGCAGCAGTTCAGCATCTGGAAAGCAACAATATCCCCTTTTAGACACAAATTAGCATTGGCGTGATTGTGTCTTTAATTCAGAAGTGATCCTTTATTGTGACTTACAGCATTTTAAAAATGACACAATGTTCATGTGTTTTTTTAATTGATCATTAAACATTAATTAAACTTTAAAACCAAACACACAAATCAAAATTCATTTTAAAACGATTGTTTATGATCAAAGGAATCAAACTGGAGAAATATTGAATAAAAATTGAAATCGCAATTGAAGAGACACAAAAATTTGACTTTTTCAAAGTTGTGCTGAAATTAAAAAGCCTAAAAATGCACCCAGAAGGAAAATAACATTTCCAGGTTTTGCAGACAGCTTGTGGTCTTGACGTTACTTGCCAACTACCAAAAGAGATCCGATCTGAGCAGCCATTTTATTTCACTCCTGCACATTTACAGGAGTAAACTGAGAGGAAACACCTCCACACTGACTGAGGAGGCTTGACAGGACTTTAATTGGGTCCACCACCCTTTGAGAAAATGATTCCTTGACTCTAGAACAGGCTTTAAAAATAGAGAGACCATTTCCATTTCTGTTTATGTGGAGGATCATTAGGTCCATTCATTTATCCGTCTTCTTCAACTCTGGTCATGGAGGCAACAGACCTGAGAGAATATATAGTAAGTCCTGGATCTGAATAAGGTCTCCTCCTAGTGGGACATGTCCAGAAAGCATCATAACCTGAACCACATCAATTGTTGCCAGTGACGGCTGGTAATGGGCTAGGAGGGCTAAGCCCTCCCTGTCTGGCATTTACAATAAAGATATAAAATGTAGATGAACAGATGCTGAGATATATTCATCAATTAAAACGGATTCTTCATTTTTCTGGACTGAATAAAACGTGCATTGAATTTAATGAAATGTAACGTGAGACGTCATTTATCTTTGACCCATCAAAATTAATGTGGTCATTTATTTTACAGAATCAAAGTTTAACATCAAACATTTACATTAATTTGGCAAAATATGAAAATAACAACATAATCAATCACCTTTACAACCAGGAAAACCATACGGCCATGATTTTCCGTTGCTTCACCACAGACATTTATGAAAACTGTACAATTATGATCAATTATCCACACGGCGGTGGATGAGCACTTTACACAGACATTTCTAAATTATCTGGAAGGATTTCTACTTGAGAGAAGAATTTAAAGATGGAAATGAAGTTTAAAGGGAGTAAAGTATGGATGAGGGAGAATGTGGTGTGTATGAGTGAAAAGTGTTGACAGGACGACACCCTCCATCCGACCCAGCTTTTCCTCGGTACGCTAAGTAGGAGACTAGACTCCTTTACCTCTCTGAAGATGAATCAGAAGAAACGAAGTCCAGTTACGCTACCTGTCCAGCGTATCCATAGGATGGCTGTGACTCGTCCGAAGTGGTGACGGGGCTTCGTCAACAACAGTTCACCTCACCGGGTGGACTTCACATGAGTGGAGTCCTTCAGAAGTTCCACTCAGAGGTGGAAGATGTTATAATCCAAAGGAAGAGCCTTTTCATGGCTGGACTTCTGTTCTCCCAAACGACTTCACAGAACTGCGAACATCTCAGAACTTCTCAGCGCCTCACCGAACTGAGAGAACTAGGAAGTACCGGCATTTTAAAGAGCTCTATTTTCGGTATATTTGAGCGTCCCTGATTGGTCCATATCAACCAGACAGGGGTGTGTTTGGTGATGTAAGAGGTTACTAGAAGTCAGAAAACAGCAAGAATTGTTATGGAACAGATTAAACTGTTCTCAGACAGGCGAGAGAAATATTTTGGCGAGTTTGGAGAACAGGTGCCAACTCCTCTGTTTACGTCTGAGAGGATTTTAAAACAAGACACATGTCTGCTTCGACTCCGACCTTGGACAAAACTTACACTTGCTCATTCAAAGACAGAAATCAGAAAATACATGATTACTCTGTAACAGACTTAACATGAACTCTAACTTTGCTTAAGCAACTAAAAAATCATTGTTACTGTTTTACAGTTAATAAAATTGATTAGTTCACTGCAACATCTAAAATGGTTTGAACTAAGACACTTTGATTATCAACATTTGTAAAATAGTAATGATAATAAAAAGAGAGTGTTCTTTCACTTGATTTTCAAGAAAGAAAGTCTCAGGATGGGTGAACCTGTATTTCTGGATTCAAATCAATGAAATGACAGTTTCTGTCCCACAAGGTTCTTAAGGTCAAGAGTTTTGACCTTAGGCTTAGTTTTGACATCAGGTTAAGTTCACTACAGTCCCCCCTTTGGAAATCATCACATGTCCATGGGGATGAATTCCAAACAAGAACTTACGCCTTCGAATGTCCTTGAAGCTTAATGTAATCCAGCAAAGAAACAAGAGTCAAGAGTAATCCAGCAAGGAAAACAAAAGTCAAAAGTAATCCAGCAAGGAAAACAAAGTCAAAGGTAATTCCACAATGTTCTTGGCAATTCCATTGTGTTGATTATAATTCCATAACGTCTCGGTAATTCCATTGTAGCAAGGCTTTAACCCCTTGGAAACGGAGTCTGTAATCCATTGGAAAAAGTCATATAATCCACAACGGTAAACCCACAACGATTGGAAGTGTTGATTAATCAGCATACAGAGGGGTACCCTTGGATTGAACTGAAGATGCGGCCACTGGATGAAGAGCGGAGACCAACGTCAGGATTGCAGGTCGCCTCCAGCGAAGGTCGTCTCTGGGCGACGTCCAATCGGTGCCGTTCTGGTTCAAATGTGACATGCAATTATGTGGTTTAAGGTGGGCTTATGAAGGGGATTTTACATAAGGCCTTAACCTATATGCACCTGGTGTGTAAGCTATTATGGTTGGGAACAGCTACAACTACCAGTTAAGGGGTGGAACATGCTGAAAAGGGGTAACTACAGGGGTTTATACCTATAGAAAAGGGGCCCAAACTATTTTTCCATTTCTAACTTGGTTTAAGTTAGCTTTACATGGTAAAATATAGTTTGGTTCAATTGTCTGTTGTCTTTTAGACGAACGACTTGAGATTGGGTGTTTGGTTTCCCCATAAATGTTTTTGGAAGTCTATGGCGAGACTCATCAAAAAGAATTAGCTATCCCCCCGAATAGAATTGTTCGAGTAGGTTCGGCTTACGCGTTGTGAGATCAATGTAGATTATGGTACTTAAGGTAGCATTAATCTACATTGACTCCGCAAAGATTGCAATTTAACGAATGAACTGCATGTTGGCATGGTTAAAGGCCTCTTAGTCTCTAACTTAACTACACACAAGATTCATTCTTACCTCAGAAACAACCAAAACCAATTCAACAACGTTTCAACACCGACAAGAGTAGTGACTAAGCAACTAAAAACATCGTTTCACTGATTCACCTCACCCTGGTTGTCAGATTCAGTCACGCTGTCCCGTGTGAGTGGCTTCTTTGCAGACCCGCATACGCGAGACATAATAATATCGAGGTGCGCTGCATGGCGATCCAGGTCGACTCGGTGTGACGTGTGGCTCCGGAACAGGGATGCGAGTATCCCACACAATACGAGGGTTATCGTCATTAGCAGGGCTATGATTAACGTGTCCGCGCTTGACCACGCATAGGTAATTGGTTGGATGGGGTTCTTAATTGTCGGGGGTAAGACCCGCAAGTTTAAACTATGGTTAAGTTTATTATCCATTAGTTATCTTCTGCTTGGATGACCCTTATTCCCACGAGGTCAGATTTTGTGAGATCTTTGTCTCCTGAGGAGTTACTGCAAGCCTTGTGTGGTTTAACCTGGTTACGATGTACCCATTTAACAGTTGGCTCTTTTTGGCCTTTACTGATTTTTATCTGATAGACAACTGGAGACAGTTTGTCGGTTATCAGATGGGGTCCAGTCCATCTAGGCATCAGTTTACGGGCGAGAGTTCCGGTCCCGGACTCTCTTCTCCCAGTTTTGGGGGCAAACGTGTAGTACCAGACCCTGTCTCCCACTTGGAGTTCCTCGTGAGAGGCCTTTTGGTCGTAGTACGCTTTGCGTCCGTCAGCTGATTTTTCCAGGTTTTTCTGTGCGAAAGCAAAAGTGTTTTTAAGGTGTTTTTCCAAGTCTTTCATGTATTGTTGTGTAGTCAAGTCAAGTCAAGTCATCTTTATTTGTAGAGCACAATTTAAAACAGATAAACTGTTATCAAAGTGCTTAACAGAAATGTAGCAAAACATAGGCAGCAAAACAAAAACATCATACAGAATTAAAATTACTGGAGCAATAACACACACTAATGATCACACTAAGGAAAAACAAGCAGTAAAAATAAACGTCAATCATAAAACAACAGAATTTAAAATGAGGTACACAGAACAAAATAAACTAACTCACACAGTATTAAACGCCAGAGCAAACAGGTGCGTTTTAAGGAGGGATTTGAACATCAGGAGGGAGGAGGCCTGCCTGATGTTGAGGGGCAGGTTGTTCCACAGGTTGGGACCTCTGACTGAAAAAGCTCGATCCCCTCGGAGCTTCAGGCGTGATTTTGGAACGACCAAAAGAAGCTGGTCCGATGATCTCAGGGCCCGAGACGGAACATATGGTTCCAGGAGCTCGGAGAGGTAGAGGGGTGCGAGGCCATTTAGGCACTTATATGTCAGGAGGAGAATCTTGAAGTCGATTCTGGATCGCACAGGAAGCCAGTGAAGGGAGGACAGAACAGGTGTGATGTGCTCAGACCTACGTGTACCAGTTAAAAGCCGAGCAGCTGCATTTTGGACGAGCTGGAGACGTGAAATGGACGCCTGACTGACCCCAGCATAAAGTGAGTTACAATAGTCCAGGCGGGTTGTGATGAAGGCATGGACTAATGTTTCAAGGTTGGGTCTGGATAACACTGGCTTGAGCTTAGCTACCTGCCGCAGTTGGAAAAAACTTTTCTGCAGAACTGAACTGATCTGTTTGTCAAACTTGAAATCCGAGTCAAAGACCACCCCGAGATTTCTAACATTGTGCT